TTAGCTAATAATGAACGAAGATGGACTTATTATGTACTGATTTGACTAAATGCCATCGTACAGTTTTGGTCCTCAAGACGTGAAACAGTGAGGTGGGCTGGCCCGTTCGTTTTTACTTCTCGCCTCCCTCCCCATCTGCGACCTAGCGAGGCGACCAGCCGCCAGAGCCGCTGCGCGCCAGCGTCCGCCGACCCTGCTACGCCGCCGCATCTTCTCCCCCACCTGCCGCCCTCCATTGTTGCCCTAAGGTAAGGCAACTTCTCCCCTTCTGTTTTCCATGGATTCTGTGTGGTTTCTCTTGTACATTTGTCTAAAATCTAGAAACCCTAGGTGCTGAGAGTGATTTACATGAGGATTTGAGTGGGAGGGGTTGGATCTGCAAAGGGATGTGATAGGGATGTGATGGATCTGAAAAGGTAACATCATATTCCCTTGTTTTAGTTTGATGGATCAGCAAATCCTGTCATTCTTCATTTTGAGATTTTTTTTGTGGCTGGGACAACCGGACGAGGTACAAGGATGCCTTTTAAACCGAAGGGTACTTCTGTCCATTCTTATTTCTTTTTGATGATTATACACTAACAAACTTGTTAAACAGGTAAAAGGGGGGTATCAACAACCACTAGACAGAAGTGGTGGGCTCAGAGTGAGGCGAACGAACAAAGGGGTAACAGATCAAAGTGGAGCGAACAGGGGGGGTTAAAATCAATTCTCCCCTAGAGCGCCAGTGGCCGGCACACATGCCAACCTAGAAAATGATCAACCCCCGAGTTTTCACGCCGGCAACAAAGCCAACAGTTCACACGCTTTGCTAGCCTACAAATGATCAACCCCCATGTTTTCTCGCCGGCAACAAAGCCAGCGGCCGGCACACTTGTTAGCCTTCAAAAAGAACGGCCATAGTCCACGGCCGAGGCCTCCCTAATTCATGTTGTCTTGGTTGAACATCTCCTTTTGCCGCTTCTCGAACCAACTTCTCTTCAAGGACATGTTGGTCAAGTCCACAGTCATGATTGCTAGCACCACCTCTTTTGCTCTGGTGTCAGTATTGGTGGCCTCAATCGTGAGCTTCTTCATTCGACCTCCTCCATGTCGAGCTTCCTCCTCTTGACGGCCTCCTCCATATCGAGCTTCTTCATTTGATCCTCCTTTTCTTGGCGCTTCATCGCGTCCCTCACTTCCTTTTGAGTCATCATGCCATGCAAAGTTTCATGCAAGGCGAAAGATGATGCATCACGCTTCTCGTCAATCTTCGAGTTGGTATTGCCCCTCGCCTCTTCACCCCATCTCCATCCCCAGCCACGGA